TCCGTCCTCCTCGTCCTCCTCTTCCTCCTCCTCGTCCTCCTCTTCCTCCTTTCTTCTCACTCTTCTTTCTTCTTCTCATCATTCTGTCTGTCTGGTTGCAGCCTGCGCGATTCTCTTCCTGCATGGAGATCCTCAAAGCAGTCGAAGGTGAAACTTTGTCTCCTCCTCCTTCATCCTCTTCCTTCCTCGCTCTTCGGCCTTGCTCCTTTCCCTCCTTCTCTCTCCTCTCCTCTACCTGCTCACTCGTCTTGTTTGTTCTCAACTTGATGCCGCACAGGAAGTAAATTCTCCATCCTCTCTCGCCACTCATCAACAGGAGAAAATCTCAGACGCGAAGCAAAGGTGCTCCCTAACCCTCTCTTCCCTTCCTGCTGCTGCTGCTGCTGCTGCTGCTGCTGCTGCTGCTGCTGCTGCTCGTGCTCCTGCTCCTCCTTCCCCTGCTCCTCCTGCTCCTGCTCCTGCTCCTCCTGCTCCTCCTGCTCCTCGCAATCCTTTCTCCCTCTTCTTCTTGCTCCCCCCTGCCCCTCTTCTCTCCCCCCTCTCCCCCCTTTCTCTCTGACTTCCCCTCTCGTATTTCTTCCTTCTCCATCCTCTGGATTGCTTCTCCTCCTTCCTCCTCATCCTTCCCACCCCACCCTACTGACTTCCATGGTAGAAAAGAGGCATTGACCCCTCCCGCATCCACATCGCAAAGGTGACCTCCCCACCCCTCCTCTTCCCTTTACCCTCCTCTTCTCCTCCCTTCGCTCACCTTCTTTCCTTGCTTCTGCCTCCCTCCACCCACCTGGTTCCTTCTCCTGTCCTGTTACCCTTCCCTTCCTCTCCCTCACCTCATGCAGGTTTTGAACAAGAAATATCATCTCCTCCGCTTCAAAGCCTCGACTCTCTTCCTCGACACCTTTCCGTAAAACCTCCTCCTCCTCCGCCTCCATCACCTCCTGCTCCTGCTTCTGCTCCTGCTCCTGCTCCTCCTCCTGCTCCTCCTCCTCCTCCTCCTGCTCCTGCTCCTGCTCCTGCTCCTTCTCCTTACCCTAACAAATCCTTCAGGTACGGAGCTCACACTACTGCTACAGAGGCGCTTTATGCAGGTAGAAACAAAAGAAAGAAAGACGGTGGTAGTGGGGGGAGGGAGGAGGACAATGAGGAGAAAGAGGAAGAGGAGGAACAGGGAGAAGAGGACAAGGACAAGGACAAGGAAAAGAGGAGGAGGAGGAGCAGGAGCAGGAGGAGGAGGAAGAGAAAGTGAGATCTTGTGCAGGCCTTCCCATCCTCACTCGTCCAGGCGAGTCGTTCGCCTCCCGGGTCGTCGCGAGTCTGCTGGCGGGACTGGGACGAGAAGAAACCTGCGTGAGAACCGAAGAAGAGTTTGTGAAGCTCGGTAAGGGTACAGGAGGAGGAGGAGGAGGAGAAGGAGGAGGAGGAGGCGGGTGGGGGGGCGGCGGGGGGGGAGGAGGAAGTCAGTAGCAGCAGCAGCAGCAGCAGCAGCAGCAGCAAGAGCAGCAGCAAGCAGCAGCAAGCAGCAGCAGCAGCAGCAGCAAGCAGCAGCAGCAGCAGCAGCAAGCAGCAGCAAGCAGCAGCAAGCAG